TGTGTGAAAACTTATGTGTGGATTGTCTTAGATTAATATGATAAAATTGGGCAAAAGTCTTAAGTTAAAGGTCGATTTGGTTCGATAGGTGTTTAATAAGGCATTGCAATAGTCAGGGTAGAAAAATATATAAAAAACATCTCTCAGTAACCTTTATAACTTAGGTTATTAAGCTTGTTAGGGTATTTACAACCCGATACCCCAAAATCTTATGATATGGGAGTCATCGACCAAAAGCTCGCTACATGGGTCACATAGAAAGTTTAAGGGAGAGAGAGTGCAAAATAAAAAGGAAAACTTGAATAAAGCAGGTGCATGAAATAGAAAACGCACAAAATGCCCTGATTAAGCCCAAACACTTATTTGAGAAAGCTTGACTTTTGACGAGGGATTAGTAACCTAGTCTAGTCCTAAAGGTTGAATCAGTCAAAGAATTGGAGAATTCTTATTTATTGATGTGTTGACTTACAATTAGTAGAGTCCACTTGAACTGGAGAGGGTGAGGATAACAATGAAAAATTCAACCTTAGATTACACACTGGGAATAGAGTGAAAAAAAGAACAAGTTTGGGGTTGTGTGAATCATACGAGAGGTGAAAAAATATCTTTAACCACAGAGGGTCAAGAATTGAAGCAACTTGCAAACTCATAATTGTTTACTTAATTCTTCATACACACGTCAATTTTGCATTGGAATAATGTATAATGGTTTGGAATTGTTACTTTGAAACAATTTGTAGATTTAGAACTGCAATTTCAAATACTAAGATAAAAAAAATAGATTGTCTAACCAATATTTTTGCATACTTGTGTGCTTGTTATTATTTAGCTTATAATTTTATTTGAGAACAAACAAATACTTAAGTTTGGGGATATTTGATAATTGTATTTTATACACTTATTCGAGGTTTAAAATAGCGATATTTGATAGTTTTTTTGACAAAATATATTTTAAATTATTGTATTTTATGTTATATAGGTAAAACTCAATGATTGAACGAGGAATCGAAAGAAAAGCGAAAATTGGTGAAAATGGCAAAATCCAAAGTTTGAGGACCAAATTGTAATTTTTAAATAGTTGATTCGGACACAAGATGATACTTTGAAGATTGTTAGGAGACAATTGGATGGAATTTGAACTCAAAAAGGAATGAAATATGATCAAAATATTATCAAAATCAATTTTCAATCGCACAAATTATATTCCAGATTTTTAGTCGAAAATTGAGATCCATTTTTGGCACAGTAAACCTTCGAATTGGAAACATTCTACTTCTACAGAAGTTGTATCACTTTGAGTTAGATTTTGAACGTACTTTGAATTGCCTCAATCGAATACCGTGACAGAAAGTTATGGGCAAAATACTGACTGTTGTGTAGAGACAAAAATCCGAATTATGTCTTTTTACTTAAATATGATTTCTTGTAATTTCAATATGTTAGACTAATTTTATACATTGTTAGGATGAGATCTTTTTTATGATATTTTTAGTTTTTAATTAATTATTTTGACTTTAATTTGATTTGATTTGTGGATGTTTATTATCGTTTCATCGTTCTTTTCAATTGCTTGATCACCAATTGAATTGTTAGTGGATTTTATTGTCATCAACAAAGATAATAGAGTTTAAGCACAATATAATAAATATTTTAAGGTTTGATAGAGGATAGAAATATATCTCTATGGTTTATATGGTTTCAATAGGTGTTCTAGTACTTATTAATGCATTTATCATGTTTGTGTCTTTCATCGAGAGATAGAAGAGTCACATGAGAAGAATAGATTTGATCGCTATCGAGATAGACTTTCAATTAAATTAGGAACATTAACCAACACAAATGATTTTAAATTGGCATTTTATTTGTTATATACTAAAAATGGAATAATAAGGGGGATTCAACACCTTAACAATGTATCTCACATATTTGAAAAACACATTTAATTACTTTCATTAGTTTAATTGATAATTTAGGAATTAGTATAAAAAAATCACAAAATATCGATAAAGGGAACAACGATTGTTCTTAACATTTATTGAAAAACACATTTACTTACTTTCATAAGTTTAATTGATAATTTAGGGATTAGTATAAAAAAGTCATAAAATTTGTTTGCTATTCGATTAAAGTTGTAATTAATTTTAACTCGATCAAACATGTAGTCCCCGTTCATTTGAAGATTTTCAAATGATCAATGGGATAACCAACTTGCTGAGTTGCGATATGTAAGTTATATCACTTATTACACGAATATATTTTATAATAAATATAATTTATTTCAACGACCTTTTGATATTGTTTGATAGAAAGAGATGGTGGAGTTGCAACAATCACAGGCAGGGATAGAAAATGAAGCATCTGTCCTGGATGAAACAAAAATATGTGCTCAAGTTGTTGGTAAGAGTGCTAAGACTATTCTGGGATTGGACCTGCTCCGCGCAAATCGTACACCAAAACAGTCACAGCTTCTAAATTTATGTAAGAGTTGGAAATTCTTAGACAACGAGCTACTAAGAAGGATAACGTTATTTATGATCTTGTAAATTGAATTGAACAATAGCCTCTACTTATCTAGAGCCTTGTTGCACGAATGGATATGAGTGAGCATCCTCCTATAAGATCGATCAATTAATGATCCACCTCCATTGCCGCCATCAATTGGTGCTGTAGTACTATGATTATATTATTAAAATTACATACAAAATATGAAAATTTATATTTTTGTGGTTAAATATCAGATATTTATGGTTGGATATCAACTATTAGTACATGTTATGTGCAAATAGTTTGACTTTTATAGAGACATTTTATTATTAATTTTCTCATCGTTCTTATTATTATTGTTGGACAAAAAATTAGTAGGGACAAAAAATATTGGTTGCTAATAGGATTTTATTGGCACATATAACATTTAGCAACTGGATATTGATAGTATATGTCTTTCTACAATCAAATTTTGGTTGATCTTAGAGGGAAAAAAATTCATTGATGTTCACCAACCAAGATTTTAGTTGATGATTACTAACATTGGTTGTCGAAAAAATTCATTCAGCGACCACGAATTGGTCTATGAAAGGCATCAATGTTCACCAACCAAAGATTGGTCCTCAAAAGGTAATATTTTACATCAACCAAACTTTGGTCGCCATTGAAGTCGGATTATCGACCAATTATTGTTCGACAAATGCTAAGACTTAACTACCAAGAGTGAGTTGGTCGCTAAACTTACAATGTATTCATATTGGTCGCTGATGGCTAACATATACCAACCAATATTTGATTCGTGAATGTTATGGATGTAGCAACCAAACCAAGACCAAAGAGTGGTCGCTAATTTTATATATATTTACCGACCAATACTGAGTTGGTCACTAAAGACCTTTTTAGCAACGGTGAATTAGCAACTAACCAGTGACCACCGTTTTGTGGTTGGTTATGGCCTACGACGACCAATATTTATCTTTTAGCAACCAATATTGTTGGTTGCTGTAATGCTATTTTTTGGTAGTGAGTTACGTTCGTTGGCACCTATGTGATTGAAATGTTGGTACAATTCTAACGAAATCAATTCTATCCTAGGAGATAATTGCTCAAAACTTTGAATATTAGAAGGAGCAAAATTGTCTTAAGGAAAAAATATGAATTCAATTCGCATGTTACTCTTTTGAAGAAATGTGAAAATTTGATTAATCTATTTATTGATTCAATTATTTGCATAACGGTTTATGTAACTATATTGTAGTACAAATCATAATATTAGATGAAAAAACTAGTGTTAAAAAAATTTCAAGTTGTCATCTTATGTGTATTTAATATGATAAATAAAAAGTTAAAATATTATCTATTATCATTAAAATAATATCCAATAACCGCACTAAGTGAAATGTATTTTCATTTCCGAAAAATCTCTCTATGGGTAGGGGTAAAAACAAAACTATACTTTTAAAACTGTATCTGTAAAGAAAAAGAACAGCGGAAAAATGGAACAAAATAGGTGGCGCCGTAGCTCCCACCTCAGGGCGCCTCGACGCCCATGACTCGCGCCGCAATCTGTCTGATTTTTTTTTTTTGGTCCAAGTGTTTTCTCCATCCCAAACTTTTCTTCAAGTCCAATGCCAACTTCCAACTCCCAATGGGCTTCCATAATATAATTTCAACTTGACATAGGACTCCAATAACATTCAAATTCGAATTCTCATTGATGTGCACTTCAATTAGAAATCTTCAATACTTCAAACACTTCAACAAAGGAATTCGGGTCACATCCAAATTCCAACAAGGAATGTGTGATAGTTGATTGAAATTCACGGTTGAAGTTGTTGTAGTAATCTGTGAGTAGTGTGTAAAGTGAGATCTTAATGCTTGTGTCCTTAAACTAGTTCATGTTTTATATATTTCAATTTTTCTTACTTTTTGTGGTTGATTCGTGAAGTGGCAGATCCCACACTAGGAATTTATGGCTAATAATTTAATTGGACGTTTTGATTTTATTCTATAGATGAATGAAATTTTGAATAGGTGTCAACAATTTTTAATGATTTGCTTGCTTTGTGATTATGATTGGAAAAAAATTGAATATATTCATATATTTGGTAGGTTTTTGGGATTTGAATTCAATATTAGGATTTTGGAATAGATTTTTGATGGAGAGTGTTTTTGATTCACATTAAATATGTTAGAAAAATACGGGTCGTGGATCGTCCATGTGATGACCCGGCCCACAAGTTATTAAAAGAGTTGGAGAGAGCAGTTTGGATTTGAAGTTAAATATGCAAATCCATGTAACCACCATCAACTCCCATACAACATCCAATGATTGTGCAGTGGAAAAAATGGCATGAAAAATGAAGAGAAAATTCGTATGGAAATTATACCAAAATTGGAAAGTCCTTAGAACCAT